GTGTTTGACCAGCTTTTTTCCCTTAGTTTCTTCCTGGGTTGAGAGGATCCATCTCCCTCGCTCCGAACCGCTCCAGGATGTTTCATTCTGGCGTCTGAGTTGTCTCTCTCAGGGAGCCGCTGTGTGCTGTTGCTTACTGATCCACCATCTTTGTGAGAGTCCAATTCTAGATTTTTTTGAAAAATTCACTTGAAGACTCAACTGAAGAGATGGATCAAAATTAAGACTTCAAATAAGAGAAATAAAGTAGTGCTAAAAGTGACCAGTGGTAAACTGTGGAGCTAATTTAACAAAGTTTTAGTCTAAGTAGTAGAAAATTTAGTCACAAAGTTAATAACAATGCCAAAAGTATTTTGCAGTGAAAGACACAAGAAGAAAAACCCATTTCATTGTATTTTTGTGTTTAATAGAAGAGACTAAGAAGGGTTTTTCTTTCATTCAAGACTTGATTTGAGAAAAATGTAAAGTTTGATATCTGCAGCATAGTTAAAATTAGAAAAATAGGTAATTTAAGGGGCTGGGGATTTAGCTGAGTGGCTTAAGCACCTGCCTGGCAAGTATGAGGTCGTGAGTTCAGTTCCTGGTACCAAAAAAAAAGAAAAAAAGAAGAAGAAAAATAGGTAATTTAGAACATTTGTATGTCAAAGAATATAAAAAGAATGAACAGATAATTCATGAAACAAGACTAAATATTTACAAATCATATATCTGGTAAGAGATTAATTTCTAGAGTATGTGAAAAACTCATAGTTCAACCAAAAACAAAACAAAACAAAAAAAAACCCCCACGCAATCTGATCAATATGTGGTTAAAAATCTACATTTATATTTGTTCAAGGAAGGTATGCAAATAATCAATAAACACATAAAAAGATAATCTCTCTCCATAGGCACAAGAAGAGTACAATCTAGAACTATAATAATAATTCACACCCAATATTATTAATGTTAAAAGAGAGAGAGAGAAGAAGATATGAAGAAATTAGAATCCTTGTGTCTTGCTGTGGGAATTTCAAATGGTATAGCTACTGTGAAAACAGTATGATACTTGATACATTTGTTGAAAAGAAACCATTGTGGGTTCTCAAAATTTTTTTCAGTAAATTTAAAGATTTAATTGCCTTTTCTTAAAAGTTCATGAATCAGACAGCAATGTATAGTATTCCTTAGAAAAGTTACTCTGCTAGGTATGATAGAGCAGTTGGTTTTGATAAGTTAGTATTATGACTTGTATCTACACGTCCCCTAAGTCTCATGTGGTCCCAGGGGGCACTTTTCAGAGGTGGCTGAATTGAGTACATGATGCTGAGATTAAGTGTGTGGTGCTGGAATTAAGGGTATGTGATTACTAAATTAGTCTGCTGATTGGTTTGGCACAGGTCTGGGTAGGATTGAGGGTGCCTCACCCTGGGAGTGAGTGCTATGCACCTGAAGGAAGCCTGGATATAAGGGACAAAAAGAGGGCTGGTATTATCTTTTGCTGCCTTTGGCATGGACTATTTCTCTTGTGCAGTTTCCCTCTGCCATGCCTCTCTGCCTTGGAGCTAGCTAACTTTGGACTGAAACCTCTACAAAATCAAATGTGTCTTGTCTTAGCAACAAGAAAAGTAACTAAGGTAGGTAGCCATGCGTCAAACAAGCAAACAACATAACTACCCCCAGAAGTGGATTGGTTAGGATAAGGTTACTTTCCTTGTAAGGAGAAAGGACTTCCTTTTGATACCATCTCAGACTAAGTTGGCTCTTTCAAATAGTTGGTCTGAAATTCTATTTCTATACAGAAAAAGCTGGTCTAAGTAGGAAATAGGAGACTTTGGCCTATGGAAAGAGAACTAAGATATGTTGCATAAAGAACATGTGTCATGTACATGTGCCAACTACCACAATGAATATTCAATATGTACCACTAATATGTGGTACATCATTTAAAAACTGATCTGTTTCTGAATTTTCCTGTTTCTGTAGTTTGAGCTTGATTACATGACACTTAGCACAAATGACTTCATTTTGATCTAGTCTGTTGGAGCCTCATGTAGGAACTCATTCTAAACCAGTATTCTCATAGGCATTTTCTTAAACCTGGTAAAGCAGAATGGTGGTAATTTAAGATCATGCAAGAGCTTATAAATTGTGTTAAAACAGATTGTATTCTAGTAACCAGTTGTAGTTTGATTTATATTTGTAAAATCCTGTTTACTATGTGAAGAAATAATTTATTGATGAGAAGTCAGAGAACCAAGGTAGTGACAGAGTATAAGGGAAGCCACCAGTTAGAAGGATATTACAGTTATCAGTGCCAGAAATGGCAGTACCTAATATTGGAATGGTACCAACAAAGTAGAGATAGTCAATTTAATTTTAGAAGGTAGTTCCTCCTGGACTAGGTGATACCATATACAAAGTGATAGAGAAGGAGGTGGGAAACAAAATGACTTCTAGTTTTCTGGAGTGAGCAACTGGGTGACAGGTGGTGCCATATGTACTGCAGTAGAGATTGAGGGAGAAGTATATTTGGGACAGATGATCAGAATATTTCTGTTAAAAAGATATATTAAAAAGGAGATTCCTATTATTCATCTCTCTTACTTTTCTCTTCTTGATGCCCAAAATTAAGAGAAGAAAGGTTTATTTAGCTCAGTTTGTGCAGGTTTCAGTCTGTAATAAGCTGACTCCAAGGCAGGATGGCATAGCATAGGGGCAGCAGTGAAAGGCAGCAGAATACAGCAAAACCAACAAGAGCAAAAGTGGGAAGAACAAGCCTCTTTCTCCCTTACTTTATAAGCAGGCTACACTTAATTAAACTTCTAAATTCTCAAGTTGACACAGTGAACAAGGTCCTAGAGCAATAGTGACAAGTCCTCTATAACCCAGGATATAGAACTGCTGAGTTACTTAGTTGAGCTTCTAGACTTCTCAAGGTCACACAATGTATTAACCATTGCAACATCCATATAGATATCTGCAGTTAAGTGTAGGCAGAATTGATTTACACATTTTGAATAACATACTAGATGGTACTATTCATGTCATAAATATATGCTACCTTTTTTTTTTTTTTTTTTTTTTTTTTTTGAGACAGGGTCTCACTATGCTATTCAGTCTGGCCTTGAGCTCACTTTGTAACCCAAGCTGGTCTCGAACTCACAACGATCCTCCTGCCTCAGCCTCTCAAGTGCTGGGGTTATAGACATGCACCACCACCTCTGGCTCATTATATGCTATTTTTTATGAAAATCGACATGGGCATCAAGGTTCCAGATCTCTACTTAAGAGTTATGGAGCAGTAATATTACTCTTGTGCTATTCCAAATATAAATCTGTACTCATACATACTACATTGTGTACAGATGCAAGAAAAAAGTATACATATACGTGTGACATACATACATGCATGTCTGCATTCTTTCCCAGCTACTCTTAGCTACACTAATGTGTGTTCTCTTGCTTATACATTCACTGCTTTCAGATACCTAATTATTGTTCCGTACCTTAACATGATCATCTGTTGAAAGACAAGGGATGATACATAGGATGTGCATATGCATGCTGCTCCTGTGTACTTTCTGGCATCTGGGAGGATTTGTTAGAATGACTACCAGTAGGAAAGGACATCATTTTCTAATTTTCATTTAACATAAGAGCCACCTAGGACCTTTTGTGGTAGAGTCTAAAGCTCAAAAGGAAAGTGTCAGCAGGTGGTGCATATTTGTTGGTTATCGTCATATCCTGGTAGTTATGGGTTTATGTAGGATTGTAGAGTCCAAGTTTGAAACCTTGAGGAATGCTAGCACTGAGACTTGGTAGAAGAAAGATAATAAAAATTTTCCAGAAGAATGAGAGATAAAAAATAGAGAGCAGTGTTATGGAAACTGAAGAAGAGCCCAGCATATTGGATAAAGTTGACCCAGAATGCTTGATTAGGGATCCTTGCAGTCTGTCCTCAACCATCCATCACGATTTATTTATATTTATATTATATTGATGACTAGTACTTTCTCATCTTTATTACCATACACATATTAATTAAAAGCTCTGGAAAGGCATAAATTATGGGATCCTGTGTTAGAAAGAAGTCAATTTTTTAGAAAATAATTATGTAATTATGACAAGGTTTTATATGTCCATGGCTGTTGTTTCCCTGTTAGATATGGCATGGATTTTGGGTCAGTTTCTCTTAATGGATAAAGGAATATTAAATCATGTTTTAACAGAAACTTGAAGGCTTTCAAATCTTTTACTTTTTATGACATATTATCTTCCTTTTAGGGTATTTTTTTTTTCCTTTTTTTTGCAGTGCTCGGGATTGAACCCTGTGTCTCACATATGCTAAAACAGTGTTCTACCACTGAGCTACATCCTCAACATTCCTTTCAGTGTTTTGTCTTTTGTTCTGGAAGCTACATCTTCCTAAAACACAGCCAGTTGTTATCCAGTTGTTAAAAAATCTAATGATTTTGCATTTCATATACAATAAAATTTATATTCTTCCGTTTGAGATTTCAGGCACTACTGAATTTCGTCCCAAATAATTATTTTTAAATACCTCCTATATTCTTTGTAATGTGTCCTACAGCCCAGGCTGACAATAAAAGTGTCTACTGTTTTTATACGTTCTTATGTTTGTTTATGCAATAACTTCTTCCTAAAATGCTTTTGTACCCTACGTTCCTCTGCAAACCAAAAAGCCTATTTTTTCCCTCCAAGATAGTTTTTTCCTTTCTCCAGCTATCTTCCTGGGCTAGAAATAAACTCCCTTCTGAAGTAATCAATATTCTACTTCATATATCTTCTCTTACATTGTTTACTTCTCTGTCTTGTTTTAGTGTTATTTATTTTACATGTCTTGTAGTCCAATTTGACAGACATCCCATCTGATTACCGTGCAACACTCCCGCTGTGGTGCCTTTTTTCATAGAAGTAGTCAAAGAGGCAAAATTTTAAAATGCCTTTCTCAACTTTAACTTTTGCTAACTATATTACTTTCCCATTTTTTTCTGTAGGATCCAATGATGCTATTGCTCCGGATTTTCCAGCCCAGGTGCTAGGCACAAGAGATGACAACCTCTCATCCACTGTGAACATTAAACATAAGGAAGGGATCTATAGTAAGAGAGCAGTATCTAAGGCATCCTTGTCAGTGGGGAAAAAAATCTTTGAGAAAGATAATGCAGGTGACTGGAATAGCTTTTAACTCCTTTTCATCCTAAAAGAGAATATCATACATATTATTTAAAATTTGTTTTTGCAAACGTTTTTGTATACTGGGCATGTATTTGTATGTGTATACTGGGCATGTATTTGTATGTGTATACTGGGCATATGCAAGGAGAGAAAATATTTGCAAAATTCTTTAAAATGCTTCAGAAATTTTTGAAAATTGTTGTTTTTACCATGGGAAATAAGATATGTTGCAACTTTTGAAATGAATTCCCAGTGAAGTATGTTTTAGAGATGAAGTCCATGGAAAATCTCAATTAACGGGCTGGGAATTTAGCTCAGTGGCACTGAACAGAAATGTATTCCAGGTGTATTTGCAGTCAAAAAGAATAAATTTAAACTTTTAGAATTTAGATAGTCTACCCTTTTGACCATAGTATTGCTATGGCAAGCAGAGAAGTTGAAATAACACCCAGGATTTGGAGGCAGATTTATTTACCTTGACGGGTAAGGATGGGATCATTCCCAAAATAACAGACCCTGATCTCTGGTGGTCTAGGCCTTATATGGAATAGGTAAGCAGGGAGTATAGAGGCGGAATGGCTTGGCAGTTGGCAGTTGGTTCTTAGAATATGCATCATAGTGACCAGCTATGCAGTACAGTGACCAGCAGTTTCTAAGAAATGAAAATAATAGGAACCAGAACTATTACCTGGGCAACTAATAAACTGAAGTATACTGGGGGGAGGAGGGGAATCTTCTACTACAGTGTGAAGATTTCTTAAAGCATAGTCCCTAAAGAGAGAGAGTAAATCTGCCTTATTAAAATGATTGATTTCATGCTTAAAATATTTTATGCATATAAACTATTAAAAGTCAGATTAAAGGAAGCTATTTGCATTTCACATAACCGATGGGAAGATTTATAAGAATGCTCATTAGTGCTCTTCAATATTAAAAAATCAGATACAGCCTTATGTTGATCAACAGATGAGTTTGGTATGTTGGCACAATAGAATAGTATACAACTTTGAGAGTCACAATTGTATGTTAAAGTGACAATCTTAAAATCAAAGAGGCATGTTGCTTAAAGATACATACAGTATTGTACTTTTTATATAAAGGGTACATTTAAGGTTATATATTATTAATTATCTTAATGTTGATATTAATGCACTATAGTGATGAATTAAAAACAGTTTTGCAATTGATAAACTAAATTCAATATGAAGGTTACTACCAAGATGAGAGAATGCCATTGAGACTTCAGTCAAGGAATCATGTCTATCTGTAATGCTTTGTTAAACTCAGTTATAGACACTTGATGTTCACTATTTTATTTATATTTTTGGTGTCCTTGAAATATTTCATTAACTTTTAATGTTCAAAAGATTCCAAAGGACATTTGCTTGATTTTTGTGGGTTTTTTTTTTTTTTTTTTTGGTACTAGATAGCAAACTCAAAGCCTCGCACTTGCCAGGCAGGCACTTACAGCACTAAACTAAATCCCCAGCCCCCAGAAGACATTTGACTGAAAGAAATTAGGAGAGTTAAAATAATAGAATTAAGGATAATCAATTTAAAAGAAAAGAGATAGCATGATAAATAAAACAATGACTGATTCTTTGTTGCTTTTAGTAATCCCTATTGCCTTTCTGATTTCTTCGTTGAAAAATATAGAATAGGAAATAACATATGAAAAGAAAAATAAGAAAAGAGAATCAAGAGAGTATTAGACAACTTTTAAAGAATGTAACTACATTAGGTTTTTTAAAAATATATGAGAGTGCTATATATAAAATCTAGATGACATAAATACTTTTTGTGAACTATTTGCAATATCAAAATTGGCTGCATGAATCATTGTAACTTTGAATGGGCCAAAGAAAGGGAAAACATTGTTCAAAATTTATTTTTGCACTTTAAAAAAGCCTGATCTGTTTGTTTTTTTGTTTGCTTGTTTTGATGTGAGTAATCAGTCTCAGGACCTTGCCAGGCAGGTGCTTTTGCCATTGAGCTATATTCTGACATCAACCTGATCTATACCTGTATTTACTATTGCATCAAATTCTCAAAGAATGAGTTTTACTTAAAATGTTACATGTACACAGAAAAATATGATAAACTTTCCAATTCATATCACAGTTGTTACATAGGAACCTAGTAGGTGCCTTTTCTCTAATTTATAAATAGGCTTGGGGTTTTTATTTGTTTGGGGGAAGAAGTGAGAGAGTTGCTTGTCCATTGTGTTTACTATCTTTTCTTTTTCTGTGGCAATAAATAATGTCATTGTTTCAGAAGCCTCAGTTCAAGTATCCATTACTGGGGATGAGAACCTGTCAGATAAAAAACAAGAAGAGGATATCTTCAGTCAAGGGATAGAGACTAAGACTGCCAGGCCTGAAGAAAAAGAATCCTTGCAAAAAGACACTGCAGGTAGCTGAATGGGTTTGTTCATATGCTTTGATCTTCTGGTCTTCTGAAATGAGACTGTTCCCTTATGAAATACAGAAATGTGTTTTCTAGTCTCTTCTTGCTATCTTCAGTCCTTCTCTGTCTTGCTCATATGTGAAATATTTAAGGCTTTCCTTTTCTCTCTTCTGTTTTTTTTTTTTTTTTTTTTTTTTGTCTTTGAGCTCACTTTGTAGCCCTCATTGGTCTCAAACTTGCAACAATCCTCTTGCCTCAGCCTCCTGAGTGCTGGGATTATAGATGTGCACCATCATGTCTGATCTCTATTAAGAAGTTAGATTATATTCTGAGAAATACTTTAAAATTTTAATCCCTTTATTATTATTGCTAAATAAATATTCCAGAAACAGTTTTGATCCCTATTGCCCTTAACAGTAAAATCTAAACTCTTTTAGCAATTTCCCAGAACACTGGCACCAGTTCCCAACCTTTCCAACATTAATTCTCACTTCTCTTCCTTAAGAGACTATGACCAAAAAAACAGTGTGTATACTCTCTTCGAGGTGCTCGGCTTCTCCTGACTCCCAAATTTTTAGCTGTATTTACCTAAAATCTCTTTTTTTTCCCATCTCAAGATGTGTACCATTTTCTAATACCCAGATCAGTTTTCCAGAGTTTAGTCAATTCTTGATTAGTTTTTCTGTCTTTGAGTACTTAGAATTTTTTCTCTATTGTGATATAATCCTTAACTTTGTATGACATCTGTTAATATAATGTTGTTTTTTCTCTATTTTAGGCCTTTCCTAAACAAATTTATGATGTTTTTAATTTTTCAACATCAGCACCAAAATCTTCACTTAGTAGATGCTTTTTATAGGCACTTTACATATTTTTTTGTTGAGTTGCTATTGCTGATGTGTTACTTTTCCTCGTTTAGGTACCAGTGATACTACTCCTGCAGAACACCCAGCACAAGTACAAGACACAAAGGTTGAAGACGCTAAACAGAATGAGACTGATATTAAGGGGAACATTCCTAAAGAAGCCTGGACAGAGGAGAAAGAATCCTTACACATAGATATTTCAGGTAACGGGATTGAGGGTGTCTGTGTGTCTGTATCTGAGTGTTTGTGTCTTTGTGTTTCTATTTTATGCTGATGAAAATACAGATTCATGATATAAACATCATTTTTTCTTTATTATCTACAAATCATTTGTTACTTTCTTTGTCTATTTGGACATGCATATTGATTTTTAAAATTGCTATTTCTGGGAAAAGATACAGCAGTTTAGAAAAAAGGATTACAAACAGAGTTGGTCCTTTGTGTCCATGGATTCTGCAGTTGAGTTAATTCCAGATCAAAAGCATTTGAGGGAAAAATTATGTTTTGAACATGTATAAACTTTTTTATGTCTTTATACTAGTACAGTCTGACAACTGTTTACATAATGGGAAAATGTAATTAGGTTATACGCAAATAATTCCCATTTTATACATATGTATATCAATATATGTCTGTCTATCTATTTGTCTATCTTATACATGTTAAATACCTATTTTATGTAAGGTACTTTTGGCATCTGTGGGCAGACCTGAAAGGTCAACAAGGAAAACCTAAAACCTAAAGGTATTCTAAAAGACTGTGACAAAGACAGTGAACATCAGCACAACTTTTTAAAAATTGTGAAAAAAGAAGCTAAAATCAGATCACTTTGTGTTTGTCTGTGTCCCCATTTTTATGAGATAAAAAAGCATATAATACATAAACCATTACTACCTAGCTGTTAAGCTTAATCTCTTGACAGAAAACAGAAGAATATCTAGATTATGGGAAAGGAGTCCAGGAGCTAATCTTCCCATACAGTATTGGAAATAATTCCAATTCAACTGCTTACATTAAAAATGTGTAAAATTGTCTTCAACAAAGGTACCAATACTAAACAATGGGGCAAGGATAGTCTCTACTGCAAATGATGTTTGGAAAACTGGATAGTTACATGTAAAAGAATGAAATTGAATCCTTACTTTATACTGTATACAAAAATCAACCAAGACTGGAGAGTCTTAAATATAAGAGGTAGAGCCATTAAAACTCCTAAAAAAAGACAGAGGGGTAAAACTTCAGGAAATTAAAGTTAGCATTAATTTCTTGGATATGACACCAGAAGGACAGGTAGCAAAAGTAAAAATAGACAAATAAGACAATATAAAACTTAAAAACCTATGCATCTCAAAGGAAACTATTAGGAACATGAGAAAATATTTGCAAATCATATGATAATGGTTTGGTAACTGCAATATTAGGTAATACCAGCAGCTCAATAACAGCCACAACCACAAATAACCTAATTTTAAAATGGGGTAATAGCTGGGTATGGTGGCATCTGCCTGTGTTCTCCATTACTCAGGAGACTGAGGCAGAAGGATCATAAGTTTGAGGCCAACCCAGGCAACCTAGCAAGACCCTATCTCAGGAAAAAAAAAAAAAAAAGAACTAGGGATATAGCTTGGTAGTAAAATGTTTGCCTAGAATGTACAAGGTCCCACATTCAATCCCAAAAGTCTACCCGCACCCTACTCCCCACAGAGGACATGCTAAAGTCTAGGGGGAAATATATATAATAAGTCTATGAAGATACATAATGATAATAATAATGAACTCCAAAGAAAAAGGTGAATTGTTCAGTAATCCTTGCAAGAAAAGCAAGAGAAAAGAAAATCAGAAATAAGTAGAGAAAAGAAAGGTGAAGGAAAGTGTAAGTGAGCTCATTTCGTCTTAAAATTGATGTCAAGAAACACATGTATAAGTACAAGTATAAAAGCTACCCCTAAAAGAGTTAAACTTTAAAACATCCAAAATGGTTAGAAAAACAATAGGGGTAATCATGGGGATAGAAGGCGTGGAAAAGTAAATAGAAAGTAAATTTGTGACAAAAAACGGGAACCTACCTAGAACATGATAGTAACCAAACTAATACAATATCTTATGTTGATTATAGCCATCGTAGTATCTCATCTTGCCTTGATTGTGTTTGCTTTATGGCCGATATCATTGAGTATATTTTCTTAGGTCCAGTTTTCTTTGGGGAAACATCTGTTTAGATTCTGGCCTGCTTTTTAATTACATGGTCTTTTTATTTTTTATTTTTTGGGTTTTTTTTTAATTTTGAAAAGAATAAAACCAAATGAGAAAAAAAACCAAAATGGGATCATTCAAAACAAAAGGATAGATGGACATAGTACATGATTAAAACCATAATACAAGGTGATCTACAATGATTTCTATGATGTCTCGTTATTTTCAATAGAATTGTCTATATCATCAGGTATAGTAAAATTGAACATAGCAGTTCAGGACAATATCAATAAAAACAAAGCATTGGAGACATTATAGGACTTCAAAAGTGGCTAATAGTCAAACCAGAATGGGTATCCTAGTGAATCTTATCGTCTTCAGAGTAGTTGCCTATACTCTAAGACTTGATACTATCAAACAACAGATTAGAATAAAATCAGTCAAGACAGGATAGCGATCTAACAACCAGATTCAAATAAAGTCAGTCATAATAAGACAATGTAAGTAATACAGGGCTTCAGGTTAAGTTAATAAAAAATTAAACATGGTTATTGTAGTATATCCTGCTATTTTTGGAATAGCTGTCTGTGCCCTCAAATGTAGTGCAAGTAGACAGACTGGAACAGAATATAACCAAACTAAACAGAGTGATGAAAACAATGTGGGTTTTAAATCATGATACAATATTAACAATGTCCTATGCCTTCCCTTTTTAGACAATTCCTTCACTTTCACTTTCAAAGGGTGCACTGTACATTTTGTATCCCACTAACTCCTTTAGTTTTTAGGTTAGGGGGGCAACCCACTATTTACATAAGTGGTTCTGAATCTTTTTGCTCCTGAGCTTGATCTTAAGTTGTATTCCTTTACCTACAAAAGCCTCAAGGTTTTGCTTTCTTATAGCTGAGTAGTTGGCCACTGCACAGAAGTGTCATGTCTTTCCAACCTATCTGCAGCTGCTGGGCAAGCTACCTGTGTTTCTCTCTGGTTCCCTGTCACATAGAGCATTATTTTCTCATCCTTGACTTTCAGTCCATAAACCTTCTTTCAGATTGATTATAATTCCTATACAGAGCATCTTGATGGACCCTATATCCTGATCTGCTCTGTTGTTTCTTTTTGTTACTGTATCAAGACCATCTGTGTTAGTGATTATACCTAACCTTCCCTGCCTCCTCTCTGCTATGCTATTTTTCTGCCACTGGTTGTCTACTTTTCCCCTTCACTTACTGTCTGCTCCATTGATTAAGGCCTCTCTGGCACTGTTCCTGAAACCATGCAATTTTTCTCTCTCTCTGTCTAGAATGTCCTTCAGTATTTTTTGTAGGGTTGGATTGGTAGTCATGAACTGCCCCAGTTCCTTTTTGTCATGGAAGTATCTTGTTTTCCGTTAATTTTGAGAGAGAATTTTTCAAGATATATTAATCTGGGTTGGAGGTCATTTTCTTTCAGGGCTTGAAATTCTTTGCTCCAAGCTTTTCTTGATTTGGTGATTTGTGTTGAGAAATCAGTTGTGATTTTGATGGGTTTTCCTTTATCAGTGATCTGTTTCTTTTTTCTAACAGCTTATAATATTCTGTTCTTGTGCTGAATTTCTGGGATCTTGATTATTATATGTCTGAGTATAGATCTATTTTGGTTGTAGCTGGCTGGAGTTCTGTATGTGTTATATATCTGGATATCATCTTCTTTTCCTATGCTTAGAAAGTTTTCTTTAATTATTTCTGTAAATAGCCTTTGTATTAGGGGCTGGGGATTTAGCTCAGCGGCATAAGCGCCTGCCTTGCAAGCAGGCAGTCGTGAGTTCGATCCCTGGTACTGATAAAAACGAAAAACACACATACAAAAAAAAATAGCCTTTGTATTTCATTTGTGTTTACTCCTGCTTCTTCACTCACATTTTTTATTCTTAAGTAATAGATCCTCTTGTCCTTTTCTAGCCTTTGTATTGTTACTTCCTGGTTCTTTGTTAGTTTTAAAAAGAGATCTTTCCTTTCTTGATCACACATTGCAAACCTGTCTTCAATTATGATAGTCTGTCTTTAGTTTCTTTCAAGCAGTTTTGCCTGCTTTCAATGGAGCTTTTAATTTCCTGGTAATCTCTTTGAATCTGTTTCATGTATTTAGATTTTTAAAATATTCTTAATTAAAGGTTTCCCTCTTTTTTCTATGCTCCTCCATTCTTCCATCTGTGTCTTCTTGAGAGGTGCTTAGCATTTCTTTTATTAATCTTCTTATATGTTGCCTTACTTGTATTAGTATTACTATTTTGAGTTTTTCTCTAATGTCATGAAGGTATTTCTTTACGTCAGATGATGTTGCTTCCGATACTGCAGGTGCACTGCCCTTGATCTCTTTTGTTTGCCGCTCCTGGACCAATGGTGTTTGAGCTGGAGTCTGGAGACCTCCTTTTGTTTCTTTCTCTTGTCATGTTTCTGGTTTCTTCCAGCCCAGTGTATGGTAGCTGTCCCAGGCCCTTTCTGTATTGCTTATGATTACTCTGTAGTGTGCTGGATAGGGATTGCTGCCCTCTCCAGTTGCTGTTTATTACTGAGGTACAAGCAGGGGTGGTGCAGGGTGCCCCCTCCCCTCTGAGCCAGTCAACCACTGGGGGTCTTCACCATGTTAGTGTGTGCCATGCGTGGGTGGAACCAGTTCTGGACAGCTTCCGGGACAACTTGTCCCTGGCTGTTGGATCTCGCACAAGGGCTAGACCCAGTCCAAGCAATTCCCACCAATCTGTTCAGTGCCAGGAATGGCCAGCTGAAGCCACTGCAGTTCTGGGTTCAGGCCTGTCCTGCCCAACTCCAAAATGTCACCCAGCTGATCACCCCCTCCCACGAAAGGACCAAATTCCAAGCACTTGCCACAGGCAGGTGCAGATCTTTGTGCTGGTTCTCTTCTTTGTTATGACATATCCCTCCCCGCTGAGGTCCTGGGGCTTGCCAACCTCGGACTTATGCGACCGCAAATCCTCGGACTCCAGTGGTACCTAGCACACCGTGGGACCGGCTCCGTTGAGAGCACGTCTGGCACCAGCCTTCTGTCCACATTTTTCTTTTCTTCTTTTTCCTTCATTTCTTCTTGGGTTGTGAGAATTCCTCTCCTCTCATCTGGTCTTCTCCATGATGTTAAATGCTAGTGTCTGAGCTGTTTCTCTCAGAGAGGCTCTTTATCTTGCTACTTACTGATCCGCCATCTTCCCAGCTCCCTTTCAAAGGAAATGTATGGATCGAACCAGCAACCTCCCACTTGCCAGCAGGGCCGGGTGCCTGGCCTGCTGAACCAAATGATCAGTTGGTTCTTTTTGTTATTGAGTTGTGGAATTCTCTGTGTATTCCTTATCAATTAGATACAAGATTTGCAAGTATTTTGTCATATTCTGTGGCTTGTCTTTGTGAGTGAGTGTGTGTGTGTGTGTGTATTACTGGGAATTGAACCAAGGGTTATATCCACAGCATAACTGTTCTTGATGGTATTCCTTTAAAGGAAAAGTTTTTAATTTTGATAAAATCTAGTCATCTAGTTTATCTTTTATTTATGTTTTTGGTATTACAGCTAATTTACCTTTGCTGAATCATAGCTCATGAACATTTATATCCCTGTATTTTCTTCCAAGTATTAAATGGTTTTAACTTTTACATTTAGATCATTTATACATTTTTAGTTAACTTTTGTATGTGGTATAACAGTTCCACTTTTTTCCTTTCCATATGGATATACCATTGTCTTATAATTGTCTGTTAAAAACTTACTCTTTACTGAATGGTCTTGGTACCCTTACTGAAAATTAGTTTATCATAGATGGATAATTGTGTTTCTGGACTGTCAGTAAAATTCTATTGACTGATATGTTTATCTGAAAGATGGTATGTCTTGGTATGTCTTTCTCTCATTGTAGACTCAATACCCAAAGTTAAAGGGGAGATTTTTATTTAGTTCGTAGTTTGTAGAGGTTTCAGTGTATAGCTGACCAGTTCCAAGGCAGAATGGCATATGGCAGAGGGTTGTCGGAGAGAACAGTTCATGGCATGCAGAAAACAGCAGAAGCAACAAGGAGCCTTAATAGCGTCTTTCTGCTCCTTATATGATATCCAGGCTACTAATATTAGGGTACTGTCAAACAAATCAGTGGACTGATTAAGTAATCACCGTCTCTTAATCTCAGCATTGCACCATGAATCACACACTCTAGATCCAGCCACGTCTGAAAAAGCCCTACCTGGCTTTGCGAGAGACATACAGACATGAGCCATAACACAGTGCTGTTCTGTCTCAATTATTAGTGTTTAGTAGTAAGCTTTAAAATTGGTGTTTTTGATTTCCTGTTAACTTGTTTTGAAGTCCTGTAGTGCTCCCACGATCTTGTTTTGACTGATTAGACTCTGTTCCATTCTATATGGTAGTATCAAGTTTGAAGACATAGGCAACTACTTTGAAGACAATAAGATTCACTAAGATACCCATCCTGGTTTGACTATTGTCTTCTTTGGAAGTCCTGTAATGTTTACAATGCCTAAGTTTTATTGGTCTTGTTCTCTACTGTTTTGTCCAACTTTATAATATCTAATGAGATAGATAATTCTTTTTAAGGAAACAAGGGACAACGTTGATAACCATTGTTGATAAACTTGTACTCTGTTCTACATCATGTGCTATGTCTATCCTTGGTATTGACTGACAGCTTTGTTTTGCCATATTTGACTGTATTCTTCCCCCCCCCCCAAAAGTAATAAGCACTAAGGAGTAATGAAATCCAAAGTGCGTGAATTTTGTTGTAAAAAAGAGAGGGAAAAAAAAAGAAAAAGAAAAAGAGCTCTAACGGATATAACAGCAAGTGTGTTTAGGGGTGTTAAATAGCTGACTGTATCAATGTTTTTGGATCATTGAACACAGCTGTTTGCAGTCTACGTGTTTGAATGTCCACCTTGTATTCTTTGATACTGTGATTTGAGGAACTATTTTCAAGATGATAATATGTAATATACTAACAGGTGATTTCTTACTGTTATGTTTTTTTTTTGTTTGTTTGTATTGTTTTTTTTTGTTTTGTTTTGTTTTTTTGTAGTTCTGTATTACGTGTACCCTTACACCGCTTTGGTTTGTTTTGTGTTTTTCTCTTTTTCCTCTTAAATAAAAAAAAAAAAAAAATTGGTATGTGTGAGTACTCTTACTTTAATTTTCAAAATTGTGTTGGCTCTTCTGCGTCTTCTTTTAATTCCATAAGAATGTTAGAATTACCATAGTAATTTCTGCAAAGTAGCAAGCTGGAATTCTGATAGAGATTGCTTTAAGTCTGAGAATTACTTTGAAAAATATTACTTTCTTAATAATGTTGCCTTTTGTCCATAACATAAATATTTAGATTAATTTTACAGCAGTGCTTTTTAGTTTTCAAACTATAAGTTTTGTATTACTTACTAAATGCATTTTAAGTACTCTTCATATTATTATGATTAGAGTTGCTTGTTTTTAGACATAGGTATTTAATTTTGTAATCTCATACATATTAATAAATTATCTTATACATATATATTTGTGGTACCTGTACATGTGCATAACTACATAAAACTGCATATAAACTGTTTTTCTTCTCTTTGGTATGATTAAGATTACCAGACTGATTAGAACTACATTTATACATGTCTGTACTTATTTGATGTATATCCATATTAACATTTATGCTTGAGCTAGAATTTTTTTCAGCTAATTTACTGTAAGTGTATAAAATGAATTTTTAAATATTTATGTTTTATCCTGAAATCTTTAACTAAACACCTTTTAGTTCTAATAGTTTTTTATGGATTTCTTAAAGGAGGCTAGAATATAATTCAGTTAGGTACATTTAAAAGTCAATTATCCAAGTGGATATAAGCATATAAATCTGGGGCTCAAGAGAGAAATCATAGCTTGAAATGTAAATCTGAGCAGATAGCAGCATGAAATGGAACTAAGTGCCCCAAGAAGAGATGAGAATGTAGGATGAGAACATTTCCTGGAGTTGGCTATGTGTGGAGATTATTGATCATATTAGCAAGAGCAGTTTTAGTCTGATAGTATAGCTATAATTGGAAGTAATTTGAAAAGTAAATTGGGATAGAGAAAGAGATAAAGGAGGAAAAAGGGCATTTTATAAGGGCATTGATCCCGTTCATGACCTAATCACAGCCTGAAAGTTCCTATCTTTTTAATATGGACTTGAAGGGTCACAAAATTCAAACTGTAGCAGATTGTAAGATACTGTTACATTAGATGATACTACTTTTCATATAAAATGATTATCAAAAAGTAAAGCTTGAAGATGGTTTTATGTTACTATTTTACTGTAACAAAAAAAATTGGAAGGCTGGGAATGTAGCTCAGTGGTAAGCGTACTTGCCTGCTATATCTGATGCCCTGGGTTTTGATCTCCAGCACTGCAAAAAAAAGGAGGGGGGCAGTGTGGGGAGAATGAAAATGCTTCATAGAAAAGGACTTTTAAACAAACTTTAAAATATGTAAGAAAGGGGGTTGGGGCTCATGGTGTAAGCACCCTGCCTGGCAAGTGCAAGGTCATGAGTTTGAACCCTGGTACCAAAAAAAAAGTAAATTTGGGCTGGGGTTTTAGTTCAGTGGCACAGGTACCTACCTGGTATGTGTAAGGTTGTGAGTTCAGTCCCCAGTACCAAAAACAAAGAAAGCTTATTTCACTCATTTATTTATTGATGGTGAAAATGAAAGCTGTTTTTTTATTTAAAAATATGATTACCAGTACCAATCTCAGTTTCATCAACAGAAGTGAATTTTTTACAAAAGAAATACGCATACGGTTATACTCCATATGTAGCTGCTGAAGATATACATACAATTATACTCCATTTGTAGCTGCTGGTGAATGCTTATAGTAGCTAAATATATGATCTGGAGATTGGGGTTGCATAGCTGGCCAGCAGCAGAATGCATCCTGGAACCAAGGTTTTTTTGACCCACGGTCTTTTAATTTGATGCTGGTAGTGTGGCTACTAAGCCTAAGCCATGAATCTTTTGTCCTGCAATGATTTTCTGAAACTTTATATAAATTGCTCTTTCCTTTAATCTTTGTTTTATATCTGAAGAACTCAGTACAAATAGTATTGCTATCAGGAATACAAATGTTAAATTCTTTCAAAAACCTTTGTTTCCTTTTCAGAGTCTGAATGTCATTCAGAATTGGAAAATACTACTCATTCTGTCTTCAGGTCAGCCAAGTTTTACTTTCATCGTCCAGTGCACCTACCAAGTGATCAAGATACTTGCCATGAATCTTTGGAACAGAGTATTTTCATGAGGCAATCTTGGAACGATTTTTTTCAGCATCATTCAGATAAGCATAAAGAAAACACTTGTCCTTCTCCGCCTTATCAAAATGTGGACAAGACTAAAGCCGATTATCCTAGAATAAAGAGCCTCAGCATCAATGTGAATTTGGGAGACAAAGAAGTGATATGTACTACTAACAGCCAGGACAGAGACCATCCAAAAAGTAACATACAGATTAATGATTCACAGAAGAACTGTAAGATTACCTCAGAGCTAACGACTCAGCATACTATGAGTTTGAATGAACTCTGGAACAAGTACCAGGAGCGACAGAAGCAACAAAAACCTCCTGGTGTCAGTGACAGGACAGAACTGTCCTTAGTGGAACGACTTGATCGGTTGGCTAAACTTCTTCAGAATCCCATCACAAAATCTCTCCAGGCCTCAGAAAGAGTGCAAGATGATAGTAGAGAGGAGCAAGATATCAAAGAATGGACTGGTAAACAGAAACAGCCAAAAAGCAAACTCCAGAAAAAGCGGTATAAAAGCCCAGAAAAAGGGCATAAAAGCATTGGTGATCTTAAAAAGCACAAGGTACTTTCTGCTAACCAAACTGGGGGGCCCAACCAGATTAAAATTGAACAGATTAAATTTGATAAATATGTTCTGAAAAGACAGCCATGCTTCAAATCTGTCAGCAACACATCTTCAGATTCTAGGCCCTCAGAGGAAAGTGGGTTGCTCACAGATACTCCTACCAACGTTTGTTCTACCTCTACTTCTGTGGACTCAGATATGTTGACCCAAACAGACAGAGAGGTGGCTTTGCATGAAAGGAGTAGCTCCATTTCCACCATTGACACTGCCCGATTGATCCAAGCTTTTGGCCATGAAAGAGTATGTTTGTCACCCAGACGAATTAAATTATATAGTAGTGTCACCAACCAACAGCGGAGATACCTTGAGAAGCGATGCAAGCAAAACAAGAAACCATTCAATACAGGTCATCCCCAAATGACTGCTGAGCACACCAAAAGGAAACACATCCAGGTACATGGCTACAAATTCCATCTGGCAATGTGACTGCTTTTTTAAACGGACTTTTTAGTTCAGCTCTGCACACAGGTGAAAAAAAAAAAAGCTCCCTTGCCCTTTCCTTAATATAACATTCTTACCAACTGGAAAAGAGTGAGAAAGTATAGTACAGTGCTATTGTGAGTTGTCATTCTTTTCATCAACACTTACTTACTGATTACCCTTTGAACTAAGGGCTTTGCTGCTAGATGCATCAGAATCTGCAAAATACACCCCTGACATGGGGGAGCCTAGTTTAGAATAATCTCTATTCTAACTATATTTCCTGGTTTTTGTTTGTTTTTCTTTCCTCCTGTCTTTCAAGAAATATTTCAGGTGCTTTTAAACACACACAAACAGAACAATATGATTTTTTAAAAAAGTGAATGAACAATCGGTAAAAGTTAAACCTGGGATGAACTATGATATAATATTTAAATAAAGAACTGTGAGTCATAGAAAGATACATTAAAACCAGAAAGGACATGAATATACCTGGTAGGTGTATATACTAGAAATTAGCTACAAATATGGTATTCTGTTTTAGCACATAATGTTACTAGTATTTTGTAATTATTGTATTGTAAAAAAGGAAACCAAATTTTCAAGAGCATCACATACTTCTGATACAGGAGCCTAAGGGATATTGTCTCATTTGTCTTTACATCACCATGTAGCAGTCTCCCACAGCCTCATTTAACTGATTCCATAACAATGCCTTAGATTAGAAAGTTAGTGAAGGCCAGTCTCAAGGGATAAACAAATGCAGATCATTGCTTTACCCGAACAAAATTTAGAGTACCCCCCCCCCCAGCGAAGTGCTCTTCTAAGATAAATGCATTGTGGATTAGAGTATGAAAAGAAAATACTAGAATTAATATTCATTTTATTCAACCTTTTAAAATTTATTTTTGCATATTTTATAATGTATAAGCATACTATTCACCTAATTTATAAACATATCTATTTTGGCAATTTATACTAAAAATATTTTGTCAGTAGGAATGAATGATCAAAAAATTTGGAGAGCACTGATCTAGATAAAAAGAGATATGAGATATGCAGTTTAGCATAAATAGTCTTTCTCATAATAGAGCTTTTGGTAGGTATTAAATGTCAGTGATTTCATATGTTATTATGAAAATTTTTAAGTAATGAAGACCTAAAAATAACAGACACAAAGGCAAAAGATCAGAGTAGAAGAGAGTGTGTGTGTGTGACAGATAAAATACACAGCATAAAATTTATGGCTTTAATGTAAATACTTAAGTGTCATTACATATATTTGTAAGGTTTTATAGCCATCACCACTATTTAGTTCCAGAAATTCTTCATTATCTCAGTGGAAAACAGTATCCCTTAAGCAATGACTCCTCCTTTCCCCTTCCAACCAGCCTTTGGAAACCAATAATCTATTTTTTGTTTCTCAGTATTTGACTGTTTCATGTAGTATGTGATCTTTATATTAGGCTTCTTTCCCTTTTCCACATTTTTTACATCCTATCCCATCCCTGTAGCTGTTTTGCTTTAGATTCTCACTAGCAATTCATAGGATTTCAGTCTCACCACATCTTTGCCAACAATTACTTCCACTCTTCCCCGACCCCCCATAGTGGCCATACTATTTGGTGTCAGATAGTGTCTCATTTTAGTTTTGGTTTGTATTTCTGCAGCAGTTAGTCATGTTGAATTGTTTCTTATGTGCATATTAGCCATTTGTATATCTTTGGAGAAATGTCTTTTTAAATTCTTTAACCTTTATGAATCTGGCTATTGGGTTTTAGTTAGCTGAGTTGTAGGAATTTTCTATATATTCTGGATATCAACCTCTTCTGATATGTGATCTACATATATATTTTAGCACTCCATAGATTGCATTTCATACTATCATTTTAATTGTCCTCTTTGACTTAAAGAAGTTTTTTTTTTTATTTAAAGAGAAAGGAAAAAAAAAAGGGTAGAAACAATACAGAATTTCAGAAAAATAAACAGTAAGAAATCAGTTGATAAGTTACATATCATCATCTTAGAAATAGTTGCTCGAGTTACAAAATTAAAGCATACAAAGTGATATTCAAATAATGACACTGCAAACAGTTCTGTTCAACGATCCAACAAGAACTTAGTAATATGGTTATCAGTCCTACACACTTGTTTTTTATCTTAAAGAGAGTAAGATTAAATAGAACAAAACAATTTATAAGGAAACAGTTTAAAGAAACACAGATTTCAAAGCATGTCCACTGGAGATCTTCACTGTCTATCTTATTTTCTCTAGTTTTCTTCCAAATAGTTGTCCCCGTTTTCACACACATTGAATATATACTGAACATTATAGAACAAATCATTACAGGATGATGAAGGCTTTTTAGGGCTTTGAGACCTGATTTTGTGGAAGTCAATAATGACAACCATAATGTGTCTCAGTTTCTTTGTAGTAGTTGTCTTTATCTTTACGTATTGCTGAAATTGAACATAAGAGACTAGACTAATATTACTCTGAACAGTGAATGATAGTATTGCTAGATTTTATATAATAATGCTACAGAATTGGCATTGGGTTTCTTAGTGTCTCTTCTTCAGAGTATCTGTTCATTACATTGTGTATTATATAATCTGTTCCTGTAAATAGTTTAGAAATTCTTCCCATGTGTGAATCTCTACATGTATACCTATCCTTTCTGTATTATAGAGAAAAACAGATCAAAACAAGACAAAATAAATTCCTAGAAAAACAAGAAATGAAAAAGACATATAGGACCACAATATTAGGTGATCTACCATAGTTACTATGCTTTCTCTTGTTAATTTCAATAGAATTGTCCACATCATCAGGCATAATATAATTGAGCATTAACATTACATAGTTATTTTAATAAAAACACAACTTTGAAGACATTGTAGGACTTGAGAGCAATTAATAATCAAAACCAGAGTGGATATCTTTTACATCTTGTCATCTTCAGAGTAGTTGCCTCTACTCTTAGACTTGATACTATCAAGCATACCAAATTCGAATAAAATCAGTAGAGGCTAAACAGCGGTCTAACAAACCAGCTTCAAATAAGATAAGTCATAGTAAGACAATGTAAGTAATGCAGGGTTTCAGTGTAAGTTAATAGGAAATTAAGGATAGTTACCGTGGTCCAATCTGCTATTTTGGGGTTAGCTGTCTGTGCCTTCAAATCTAATATGAGTAGACAGACTGGAACAAAATATAATCACACTGAACAGAGCAATAAGACTACTGTGACTTTTAAATCCTGATACACTATTAACAATGTCCTCTACCTTCCTTTTTTAGACAATTCTCCCCCTTTCCCTTTCTCATGGTGCTTTATATATTTTGGGACCACTAGCTCTTTTAGTGTTTAGATTAGGGGGCCAACCTGTTATCTGAGTATTGCTAAAACTTACCCCTGAGCTTGATCTTGAGCTGTACTACTTTACTTACTAAAGTCACAAGGTTTTCCTTTCTTCCAGCTGTGTAGTTCTACACTGCCCAAAAGTGTCATAGCTTTCCAGTCTATCTGCGGCTGCTGGACAAATTGTCCCTATTTCTCTCTGGTTTCCTGTCACATATAGCATTGTTTTCTCATCTTTGACTCTGTTTATTAACCCTCTTTTAGGTTGAGTGTATTTCCTATTCAGAGCATCTTGATGGTTCCTGCCTCCTAATCTACTCTGCCTGTGTTTCTTTTTAGTTAGTGTATCAGGGCTATCTATATTAAAGATTACAGCTTACCGTCTGTGCCTCATTTCTGCTTTTTTATTCTTCTGCTATTATTTGTCCACTTTACTCCTTCATTCCACTGTCTGCCCTGTTCATTGAGGCCTCTCACTGTTGCTGGAATCCTGGTATTTTTTCCTCCCTCTCTCTCTGGAATGTCCTTCAGTATTTTTTGTAGTGTTGGGTTGGTGGCCATGAACTCTCACAGTTCCTCCTTGTCTTGGAAATATCTTGTTTCTCCATTAATTTTGAGAGAGAGTTTTTCTGGGTACATCAGTCTTGTTTAGAGGGTATTTTCTTTCAGGGCTTGGACTATTTCCCCCTAGGCTCTTCTCAATTTGAGAGTTTGTGTTGATAAGTCTGTCGTTATTTTGATAATTTTTCTGTTGTGTTATTTTGATAATTTTTCTGTTGTAGGTAATCTTTTCTCTGGCTGCATTTAATATTCTGTTCTTGTAGATATCTGGAATCTTTATTATTATATGGGTGTAAATCTGTTTTGGTTGTAGGTGGCTGGAGTTCTGTATGCCTCATTTATCTGGATATCATTTCTTTTTCCTATGCTTGGGAAGTTTTCCTCAATTTCATCTGTGAATAGTCTTTGTAATTCATTTGTGGTTATTCCTGCTCACATTTTTTTATTCTTAAGTTATAAATCCTGTTGTCGTCTTCTAGGCTTTGAATTGTTTCTTCCTGGTTCCTTGTTATTTTTAAGAGATCTTTTCTTTCACGATCACACACCATAAATCTCTCTCCAAGTTTCAAAAGGCTAACTTCAGTTTCTGTCAAGGCATTTTGCCTGCTTTCTTTCTTTCTTTCTTTCTTTTAAAATTTTATTTAAAAGGAAAAAGAGAAAAAGCAGAACAAAACAAAACAGTGTAAGGGTACAAGTCAAACATATCAAGACTGTGTAACACCATTCAAGTGGATGAAAGCATTGTAGAGTATTTAGAACGAGCTAACAGAGAAAAAAATGATCAATGGTTTCTATATTATCTCTTTGCCTATAACAATTTTTGTTTATACTACCACATACGATAGAATCCAGCAAGTTACAACATGATAAAATCAATGGAGACAGAAGAGCCATAGTTTGGTGCAGCTTTAAGGCAAGATGGTATTAAATCAGCACTGCTATTATTATGTCTTATTTTCTTCAAACTAGCTGTTCATTGCATCACAGGCCATAATATCAAACAGCCCAGAATAAAGCCATTCCAATTAATGAGTGAAAATTTTATAAGGC